AAAGTGGTCATCTCTGTTTTGTTCCTGACCTTAAGGAAAATGCTTTTAGCTTTTCACTGTTGAGTATGATGTTAGCTGTGGGTTTGTCATGTATGGCCTTTATAATGAAGTATGTTCTTTTTATGTTCACTTTGTTGGGAATTTTTGTCATAAGAGGTGTTGAATTTTGTCAAATGCTTTTTCTGCATCTATTGAGATGGTGGTTTTTATCTTTAATTTTGTTAGTGTGATGTGTTGTATTAATTGATTTATGGATGTTGAATCACCTTTGCATCCCTGGTATGAATCCCACTTAGTCATGGAGTATAATCCTTTTAATGTGCTCTTGAATCCAGTTTGCTAATATCTTGTCAGGAATTTTTGCATCTGCGTTCATTAAGGATATTGGCCTGTAATTCTCATACTCTCCACCCCACCCCACGCCATCTCTTTCTTTCTTTCTCTTTGGTAGTGGTTTTATCTGATTTTGGTATCAGGGTTAACGCTGGATCCATAAAATGAGCTTGGAAGTATTTCCTCCCTCTTCAGTTTTTACAGTAGTTTAAGAAGGATACATATTAATTTTTTCTTTAAAAGTTTGGCTGTTTCCTGATTGAGAGCTGCTTCTACACTTCCCTGGACACACTATATCTTTTGAGAATGTTAAAGATTAAAGGGAAATATCTGAATGTGGTAAAGTGCATTTAGGTCTTATTGTTATTTCTTCCTGGGAAGCAGGTGCGGCACTGTGAGAGGCGGCCAGCCAGATGAAGCAGGGGTCGGAGGGACTCTGCTGTCTCTCAAAGGGCTGCCACCTGCGGGCAGCCTTCCCAGGCTCACCGCCTCCACAGGCTGCCTTTGTAGGCTTGTCAGCTTGTCTGCCTTGGGCCGGATGTTTGCTTGGGGTGGGGATGAGGGTCAGCAGCTGCACTGAGCAGCTGGGCAGGCTGAGCTGGGGCCTGTGCTATGTCAGGGGCTGGAAGGCACAGCCCCGAAGGCAGGTAGAGTGGGCAAAGGTTTCTTGCCAGGCTAGCGTACAGGGCTGAAGGCCTGCGCTTGGATGGGGAGTGAGGTGAGAGACTTACCCTGTGCCACCTGCTGTATGCTGAATGTTGTTTTGGGTACGTCACGCATGCACAGGACAATATGTGAGAAGCTCACAGGCCACAGGTAAGAGAGGGGTATTTCCTGTGCCCCGGGCCACCTGTGCCCTGGGTTGCCCCTGTACCTACCTGCAGACAAGACATGCAGCACTGAGGTGGACAGGCTGAGTCTGCCATGGAGGGATGAATCCAGGTGTTCAGTCCATATCCAGTTTTTTGTGTAGTAGCCCCTAATTCGCAGTCATTTTTGCTTTATGCAGTTCCAGTCACCGTAATCAAAAATATTAAATGGAAAATTTCAGAAATAAACAATTCATGTTTTAAATTGTGTGATGTTTTGAGTAGCATGATGAAATCCCACACTGTCTGTCCCATTCCACCCAGGATGTAGCTTGTCCCTTTGTCCAGCGTTCCTACATTGTAGACACTCCCTGCCTGTGAGTCTCTGAATACCTGTCCTGGTGACCAGCTTGGTTAGCAGAGAGAGAGGCTGCATTCAAATAACATCTATACAGTACATTCTTAGAATTGTTCTACTTTACTATTGTTGTTAATCTCTTACTATGCCTAATTTATAAACTAAATGTTATCACAGGTGTGTAAGTACGGGAAAAATCACAGCATGTGAAGGGTTTGGAACACTACACAGGTTTAAACGTCCACTGAGAACATATTGGAACATATGTCTTGGAACATATTCTTGCAGGGACGGGATTGACTGTATAACCAAAAGCACCTCCAATGTTTTAGTGTGACAGTACTGAGCTGGGTAATGTGTGAATGACATGTGTACGTTTTAAGGTAACACATCTGTAGCCTGTATTTCTAGAAAAAGAATTGGTGGGTAAATTTTTGTAGATACATGAGTCCAAAATTTCAGCCATGCAGGGACACTTCTCCTCATCCTGGACAATAATATTATCAGATTTGTGCTCATCGGATGAATGAAAAGTAACTCAGTGTATTTTTATTCTGTGTTTCTTTGATTGGGGTGGAGGCTAAGCTTTAACAGCGGCTGTATTTCCTCCTTTGAACTGTAACTTCACATTTGTGTCCTTTCTAATTAACTCCTTGCACTATTGATTTTAAGGAAAATACTCATGCACACACATACAATACAACACACAAGCAAAGGGAGTGGGCCCTTGGTCTGGGATCTGAGTTGCAACATTTCCCCCAACTCTTGTTTATGGTTTTTTAAAACTGTATGCTACTTTTTCACTGTGCAGAGATTCTTGTATTTTTAGAGTCAAGTTGATTACTTTCTCAAGGTCTTCTGGATTGAGTCACTCTGAAAAAAGCCTGCCAGAGTCTAGGCATGGTCTACGAACCTCTCCTCTTCCCTCCATCACTACTGTGCTTCCTCTGGGTTTGGGTTCCTGTCCTGGATCCCTGGCTCTTATCACTGGGGCCTCTTCCATCGAAGCCAGGCCAGCCCTGCTCCCTGACCCCAGATGTCATCTGCCCACTTCTCTTGCCACCTAGCACCTCCCTAAGGGTCTGTCCTCTGCATCCCAGGCTGTGAGCCCTGAGGCAGGGCCATGCACTGAACACTCCCCGACAGTTTAGGGGTCTGGGTAAGGGCTGTGTGGGTGCTGGTGTTAGAGAGTTGGGGAGGGGCTGCCGCGGGAGCAGAACAGTGTACCTGTATCACGCTTGCAGCCTATTGCCACCTGTATGGATGGGGGAATCCTTCCCTTGCCCTGAATGTGTAGTGTGGACACAGTTGGCCCTGGGTGTAATGAGACTCCTGTTCTTGGCCCCATGTACAGTGTGGATGAGGAGACCCCGAGTATGGGGGACCCCTGTCCTCAGCCTCCCTGGATGGGGAGGCAGTGTGGCCCCAGGCATGGGGAGCTCGTGCCCTTAGCCCTCATGTGCATTGTGGCCTGGGTACAGCCCTGGTGGGGGACCTGTGCCCTCTTCTCCCATGTACAGAGTGGTTGGGAGGCACCGTGGCCCACCCTCCTTCCTCTGTCCTTGTTCATCCTCACAGCTGCCCTGCCTAGGCTAGCCCCAGATTCCCTCATGTTGGTCCTGCCTTACTTAGGGGGTACTCTTGGATGCTGGAATGTTTTGGTACCGCCTGGAGCTTGGTTAATCTCGTGTAAGTTTGAGGCTGCAGGGTTTCTGCTGCCTGGCACTCGTTCTGGGCACAGCTGTTGACATTCCTGTCTGGGGACAAGTCTCCACTGTGTGAGCTGCCTTTGTGTGGGGAGCACAGCTTTTCTAGCCTCAAGCTTAGGGTCTGCGGGCCCCTGCCTGTTCCCCGTCTGCCTCAGCAGCTGTCTTTGGGCAGGAGGCGTGGAAGTCCATGAGGCTGCCCATGGCAGTCCCTGCTGTGTCCCTGTGCCCTTAGTCATGAAGCCCTAACCCCTGCAGTGGCACTGGGGTACAGGTCTCTGGCTGGCTTGCTTGCCTGCTTTGTTACCTGCTTTTCCTCTAGCGTAGCATCCCAGCTTGGAGCTCACAGGCACCTGGTCCTTGAAGGCCTTGATGCCTCTCTACCTGCAACTGTGGGCCACCCACTCTGGGCCTGTTCTGTGCCTCAGGACCTTTGGAGTTCTCCCCTAGCCTTTGCCCTTGCTGGCCTCCCACTGTGCATGGGGGTGGGGGAGCAAGGGTGGCTCCTGGCTCAGAGAATCATTCAGAAGGGAGCTGGCCCTGCAGTGAAGTTTGCAGGGATGGGATCTAGTGAGGACATGGCCAGAGCTCTACTCTGGTGCATGCTGGCTGAGCATATGCGGAGTAGGGCCCAGGCCTGGGGTGGGTCTTCTCACTGAGCCAGAGTGTGGAAGGGATGGGGTGTGGGGTGCACCCTTGGTCTGGGGCCTGCCTCTGTGGCTTCTGTGACCCTCCAGGGATACCTTGTTCCTGCCTGTCTGCTATTCCCCTTTGCACCCTGGGCCATTTTGCCCTGGTGTTCCACAGTGTTGCCTGGCTCCCCACTGGTTCTCCTGCTCTCAGAGAGCTGGTTGGAATGAATGAGGCAGGCCCTGCCCCTTCAGGGTCTTGGGGCCCACCTGGGCCCTCAGCAGGGTAGATGCCCCCACTCCAGGCAGGGCCTGGGAGAGGTCATGCTGGGGTATGTGTGGGGTGGCCCTGAAAGGGAGAGGGGGACCGGGGAGCTTTGAAAGTCAGTGTCTAGGTTGTCCCCAGAGGAGCATCGCTGTTAGGGTCTGTTACAGGGTGGATTCTAGGAGGGCCCACCAATCCCTTCTCCTGAAGAAAGCTGTGGCTCTGCGAGTCAACCTCGAGGCCACTGTGCCCCTCAGTGGGGCCTTTCCAGGAGCAGCAGGAGGGAGGATGGGGTGTGGTGAGGGACCACAGTTCCCATGGGTGGACTGATGTGGGAGGCTTGTTTCCAAGGTGCTCGAATAGGGGTTCTAAGCCCTGCCCCTGTTGAGGTGGACCTCTCTCCCTCCCAAGCACTGAGGGTCTGGGTGTGACTCTGCATGGACATGCCTGGGACCCAAATGAGCAGTTGTCTCTCTGGAGACACTGACACCATAGCATACAGAAGGCCAGGCCTGCCAGTCCCTGGGTGGAACAGGTCAGGGGGACAGATTATAGACCCTGTGGACCAGGGCCCAGGGTGGAGCTGCGGGAAAAACGGGCTGCTTTCCTAGTGGCACGTGGGTCCTGGACTGGGAAGTCTGCTCCGGTGCAGGCATTCGGGCAGATCTGTTGGGACCCGGGGACCACCTGGGCAGGCTGCCATAGGGCAAGGAGTGTACTAGGACCCTCCCGAGGGCCCACCCGCAGTGGGAGATGGTAGATGTGAATTCCTCCAGCTGGGTAAGTGGGCAAGAGACTGGTGGGGGAGGGCATGTGTGCCTCCTGAGCCCTCAAGGCCAGGGTGTGGGTATGCAGAGGCTCTTCCTCTGGGGCGGTGCTTGCCCTGGTCTCTCTGCACAGGCTGACCGGCAGCGAGCCCCTGACCATCCTTCCACTGACCCTGGATCCAGAGGCGGCCGTGCAGGCACACTACAAGGCCTGTGATCGACTGAAGCTGGAGCGAAAGCAGAGGCGCATGTGCCGGCGGGACCCGGGTGTGGCGGAGACACTGGTAGAGGCAGTCAGCATGAGCGCCCTGGAGTGTCAGTACCAGTTCCGCTTCGAGCGCTGGAACTGCACCCTGGAAGGCCGCTACAGGGCCAGCCTGCTCAAGAGAGGTGTGCAGCACTGGGGGTGGGGCAGTGGGCTGCCAGGTCCGGGTGCACCAACCCCTGGTGTACCATTGGAGGGGTCCTGGGTCAAGGGAGAGGAGCTGGGTCCCAGAAGACACTGCAGCTAGCTCCTGCCCTGACCCCCCAACTCCTCTGTCCCTGCCCTCCTGCCCCTACCTCTTCCTCCTGCCCTGTCCGCACACAAACCTGAATTGTTGTTGGCAGGACTAGGAGCCTTTGGCAGCTTTCACAGGGCCCCAGGCAGCTCTGATGGCTTTTGCCACATGCCTGTGGCCAAGGTCCAGTGCCGGCAGGGGTCCAGCTGGTGCTCCTAGCACAGAGCTTCATCTCATCTCTCATGTCTCCTCCATGCGTGGGAGCTGTTGGGGACTCTAAGAGCATCTTGGTGTCCTTGTTTAAAAACGGGGCACTTCAGGCCCAGAAAGGGCTTCCATAGGGCCGTGGGCCATTCTGGTGGGTGGGAGACCCAGACAAATGGGGTCACTGATTGCCAGATAGAACCAAGGCCCCAGTACCCCTGCATCCTCCCCATCCCACCTTACTCATGCACATAGGAGAGCCTCTCTCCCAGGTACACCATCAGTGTAGGCAGGTATTCTCCCCTCCCTGCACCCCAAGTGAATCACAGGAAGGACCCCACCAGCAGCCAGGGATTCAGGGCTTCATCTGGAATGCTATGGTTTGGCTGCAAAAAGTGATGGGGGGCTGCTGTCGTGCCACTGCTGACTAGCCCCACTGCCTCCCCAGGCTTCAAGGAGACAGCTTTCCTCTATGCCATCTCCTCGGCTGGCCTCACGCACGCACTGGCCAAGGCCTGCAGCGCAGGCCGCATGGAGCGCTGCACCTGTGATGAGGCACCTGACCTGGAGAACCGTGAGGCCTGGCAGTGGGGTGGCTGCGGGGACAACCTCAAGTACAGCAGCAAGTTCGTCAAGGAGTTTCTAGGCCGGCGGTCAAGCAAGGACCTGCGTGCTCGTGTGGACTTCCACAACAACCTCGTGGGTGTGAAGGCAAGCGGGGAGGGGGTGGGGCACCAGGCAGGGAAGGGCTGCCATGGAGGTGGTGGTGAAGGGGGCAGGCCAGGCTCAGAGAGGGCTGCAGGGCTGGGAGGAGATGGGGTCTGCTGTCTCTGTGCTTTTGTTCTACCCGGGTGGTACCAGCCAGGGTCCTCCATTCTCAGCTTATATAAGGCTCATTACCTGCCAAATAGGTGGAGATGCTAGTTGTCACAGAGGGTGCCCATGGCCTCCTGTGGAGAGTGTCCTCTGGCCTCCCATGGAGAGTTGGAGCTGGAAGGCCTCCTTTCTGCTGGTTGGGGGGTGGAGCCAGGTGAGTCTGGACCCATCTGTATCTGGCCCTGGGTTGTCAAGGCTACCAGGAAGGTCTCTGTCATGGGTACTGTCTGTCCAGGAGGAGGGCATACTGAGAGCCTGCCTGCCAGAGCCGAGAGGCAAGTAATGCTGCTACCAGGGACATAGGTGGATGCATTATGGGGAGTGTGTAGGCCAGGAGTCCCAGGGAAAGGCTGGGGTGCTGCTGGTCCAAGTGTGTGTTGGCAGGGGGTACTCCTGCCTCAGGGTTCTCCTCTGTGGCCAGGACTCTCTTCTGAGCAAGCCCAGCTCAGAAGACTCAGGAAAAGGTGAAAGGTGTGTCTTGGTGTTTTGGGCTGGGCCCAAAGGGACCTGTCTCCTGCCACCCTTCACCCGCCCTGCAGGCCCTTGACTCCCCAGCCCACAACACTGGAATAGGCATCAGGCCCACATCTGTAGTCCTCACTGAGTGCGGAACACCAAACCCTTAGTACCCCAGCAACTTGGGCCACCAAATGCGCCCCAGGCTCAGCCATTGTCTAGGATCCGCTCAGGTTGCTGGCAATGTGGAGCCCTAGCCAGCGGGCATGTAATGAGAGACAGCCTACTCAGTCTCAGCCTTGTTATTGACTAGCTGAAGTTCTGAGTCTCACAGGGGAGCTCCTTCCCGCCTTCTGTCCTGTGGGGAGGGGTGTGGGGAGATTAAATCCCCCAGGCAAGGGCCTTTCTTTTCCTTTGTACTTGCCTCTTATAAACTATAAATGAAAAGTCAGAATACAAAAAGTGTTCCATTCGCTCCAGGCCTGGGTAAGCAGTGTTTTAATTAAATTTGTCATGTTTCTCAGCAAAATATCATTAAATGTGACTCTTCTGTTACATGGCCAGGGAACATGGCTGTTTCTTAATCCCCTTAAGTGGCCCTCTAGGGAGCTCAGGCTTGGTTTGGGCCAGTGGAGAGGGCTTCCGTGCCCTTCCTTCCCATGACCCTCCAGAGACCCCTTGTGGGCAGTCTGCCAGGAGGCTCAGTGGGGCAGCTGGCCTGACCTTCTGGCTTTGCAGGTGACATCCAAGTTCTGCAAGAAGAAGGATCCTGTCTGGGTCTCAGGTAGCTTCCCAGAGCCTGAGTAGAACTTGGTCCTGGGCCACACCTGTTCCTGTCCTGGCCAGCTGCCTCCCACTTCTGGGTCGATCAGGTGGCACCTGTGTTTGCAGCACACCAGGCCCCAGTGCTCAGGCAGGGAGGTGGTCAGCTCAGTTGTAGGCTGCAGTGGCCAGTCCTGCCCACTGGGCATGTAGCTCTGCGGAGAGCACACTGCTAGGTCCTGGCTGAGAGGGTGCTGATGGTGGGGCCGGAGGGCGGCCTGTCCAGTCCTTGCAGGGGCAGCCTAGACACAGGCCAGGGAGGAACATCTGGGCAGGGAGGGAGTATCTGCACAGCACCACAGGTTCTGTGGTGGCCACTCAAGTCCACGCTGATAGCTGTAGGGCTCTGTCCTAGGTGGTTTGAGGCTTGAAGGCAGAGGGATAGGTGAGTAAGCCAGGGAGCCTAGGTAATGGGTGGTGGTGGCCCTCTGGGCTGTGCCTGGGTCTGGGGCAATGGGGTTTGGTCCTGAGGTAGGGGCTGGTTGTTGGCCCCTTTGGAGTCATCCATGTGGTCTGGTCTCTGTGTGCCAGGTGTGGCCCTCAGGCTCACCTCTCTTCCTCCTTCTAGGTGATCAAGGCTGGGGTGGAGACCACATGCAAGTGCCATGGTGTGTCTGGCTCCTGTACCGTGCGGACATGCTGGCGACAGCTGGCACCCTTCCACGAGGTGGGCAAGCGCCTGAAGTACAAGTACGAGACGGCACTCAAGGTGGGCAGCACCACTAACGAGGCTGCTGGCGAGGCAGGTGCCATCTCTCCACCCAGGGGCCGGGCTTTGGGCACAGGTGGTGACCCACTGCCCCGTACACCAGAGCTGGTGCACTTGGACGACTCACCCAGTTTCTGCCTGGCTGGCCGCTTCTCCCCAGGCACTGCAGGCCGCAGGTGCCACCGTGAGAAGAACTGCGAGAGCATTTGCTGTGGGCGTGGCCATAACACGCAGAGCCGGGTGGTGACACGGCCCTGCCAGTGCCAAGTGCGCTGGTGCTGCTACGTGGAGTGCAGACAGTGCACTCAGCGGGAGGAGGTCTACACCTGCAAGGGCTAGTGCCAGTTGGCCAGGCTGTCCCAGGGATGCAGGCAGCATGTGCAGCAGAGGCATCCACACTTGCAGACTGAGCCCCAGACTGGGTGCCCCTAGCACTTGTGGGCATGAGGCAGGAGCAGGAGCCCAGGGCAGGCTGGGGAGCCATCTCTGCCTCTCTGTCTCCCCTCAAAGGCCTGATCTGACCTCTGCATACTCTCTGCTTGTCCCTCCCAGGGACCTGACAGCATTGCACTGATGCTTTCCAGGCTGTGTCTGTCCCTAAGACTCCAGTCCCTGTATCACAGTGCCCCTTGACACTTGGGCTCCCTCTGAGGAGTGTGGTGCATTTTCATGACCAACTACACAGGGCTTCTGCAGCAGCCTGTGGGCTGCCCTCCTCCAGCTCTGGCTAGAGTCAAACCACTAGGAGAGGGACAGCCAGCCACCCAGGTGTGGGGGACACTGTTGCCACCCCCCAACATCAAACACTTCTGTTTGGAGTGATAACAGTGACTTTTAAGTTATTTTTATTTAACTAATATATAATAATTATTTTCTCTGTCCCCACTGCATCCCAGGCTGTGGCTCTTCCAGACTGGAGGGGCCCCTTCCTCTTTCCTCGCCCCCCCCATTCCCAGACTTCTTTGCCTGATCTGCTTTGTGTTTGAAACCACTAAGTCAAGAGAGATGTTGCTGTTGTTCTAAATTAAAGTGAGCTATGTCTGGCCTCCTCCCTCAGGGCTTCCAAAAGTCAGGTCCAGGCTGTCGTCCCCAGGGAGGCCGCCCCGGGAAGGGTGCCTGTGGGCACACAGCCCTGCACTCCAGCTCCCAAATGCAGATTCTGGGGCTGGGAGTGGCAGAGGCTGCCCTGCCCTCCCTAAGGGTTATTCATGGGCAGAGGGGCAGGGCCAGCCCCTTGGAGCATTTATTTCACAAAGAACACACAGTTTGTTCTGTGTCACTGTGGGGGGAAGCAGGGTGGGGAAAGATGTGACAGTGTCTGGGGCCAGGATTTGACAAATGGCTATGTTCCTTGGCCATCCTGTTGTCTTTGACAGAAGGGGAAAAGGATGGCCTACACTGACCTGGCTTGGTTTTGGTGTGAGATATATGTGCACACATGTGCAATGCGCACACATATGAGATGCATGTGTACTAGCATGTGTGCATGAGCGTAGGCACATGCCTGTATCTGTGTGTACATGAGTATGGACACATACGTGTGTTTGTGGCTATGCATGTACGTACACGGATGCATGCACCTGAGCAGGTGTGCTATGTGCATGTTGTGTGCATGCGTGGAGGGCATGAGTGATATGTGTGCATGTGTGTGAGCATGTGCTTGTGTGTGTGTGTTGGTGTGATCTGTGGGTGGCTGGATATGGCCTCCACCCTGTGTCCTTCTTTAGCATGGGCCTCTCCTTCCCACGTTGACGTGAATGGCAGTCTCGGCTCTGGAGCCTCTGCCCTAGGCTTGTCCTGCTTGGCTGGGTGGCTGTGCTCCAAGGGTGCAGGCAGTGTGGAAGCGGGAACTACTGAACTAGGGTGTTCCTCGGAGTCCCAGGGGGCTCCAGGAACCCCAGGGAACTGTGTTTTTAAAAGGAAACCTATTTATGTTAATGTGGGTCTCTTAGTCCCTGTTTTATAGTGTTAATAGTAAAGTTTATTCTCCTGTGGTTCAGAGAACACTCCGTGAATAATTGTGCTCTGGAGGCCCATCCTGGGAGACAGCCAGATAGACTCTGCAGTGGCAGATGTGGGCCTGCCCCTTGTTCCCCGCAGGCCTGGCTGGACACGGCCAGGGTGTGGTGAGCAAGGGCGCATCCTGGTTGTCCCCACCTGCAGGCGCCCATAGCAGGTGGAGTGTCTTGCTCCCATCATAAGACTAGCCAGTCACTACTGGGTCTGGAAAGGTGGCAAGTCAGAGGAAGGATTTTTTTTTTAATTAAATACCACATTTAGCTATATGTCATAAATATTAAGAAAAGTATTTTTTTTAAACAAGGCAGACTGAAAATGTCTGCTGGCTGGTTTGTTTATATATAAACATATATCAGAATGTCTTGCTAAGCAAAGAAACAACTCCCGCTGATGGAACCTCTCCTTAATGTGCTTCTCTTTCATGTGGCAGAGGGTCTCTGAAGAAACATGTTGGTAGTGGGGCCAGAGCTCCAGGTTCAGGCTTACGAGGGGCCACGGGGGCAGGCCACCATGCTGAGGGCCAGGCGGGTCCCGGCCACCTGCTTCCCACCAGCCGCTCGGATGTGGGTTCTGGGCTTGGTTTGTCCAGGTCCGGAGGTCGGGAGGTGAGGGGCATTCACATATGACAACTTTGCTCTGGGTGTTCAGCTTCTCCAGCTGGCCTGCCCACTTCTCTACCTCATCTGTATAGTGAATAGGTGTGTACTCGAGTGACTTGGAGAATGTATTTATTTAACGGCTTTGTGTAACACAACCAGAAACAAATGGAAACACTAAATAAACGTATTTTAAATTATACCCTGACTTGGTCTGATGACTTCAGAGTACTTCTGATAAACCTGTGGATGGAGGGCCTCAGAGAGGAGAGTGTGAGAGAGAAGGATGTGAAGGAAGAGGGCCTGAGGGAAAAGGGAGGAAGTACGTAGTTTGAATGCTGGGGCTGAAGACCCGGAGAGGAGAGTTGAGGCAGGTTGGTGGGCCTGAGGACCTGTTCATGTGGACTCTGACTATGTGGGAGTGTTTAGGGAGCTTTGTTTTTTTTGCATTGAAGCTTAAGCACAGCCCAACTGGACCCAGGTTTGGGATGGGTGGTGTATCCATGGTGATATATGGAGAGGACACAGCTCGTGCGTGGGGACCTTATTGAGATCCCTGGTCATTGAATGTCTGAAGGTTCCCCCTCATGGTGCTGTCATTGGCATCCCAGGTACCCAGCAGTGTCCAGCTCGGCCTTTCTCCTAGCATAGCCTCCCACTAGGGAGGGACATGTGAGCCTGGAGACCTTCATCTCTCCAGACCTCAAGGTGGGTAGTCTGAGATGAAGGTGTCCGGGGGCTGCTCATTCTCTGGAGGCTCTAGGGGAAGGTCGTTCCTGCCTCTGCCCCAAGCTGCTGCCCCTGGCCTTCCTGTCTCACCTCCCTTGCCATGTGGCTTCTCTGTGTTTCTGACGGGACACCTGTCATGGTATGCAGGGCCTCCAGATGATCTGGGTGCTCTCATGTTGAAGTCATTAAGTACCTGCAGAGATCTCTTTTCCAACTAAAGTCCCACCCTGAGAGTCAAGTGGATGTGAATTTGGGGGGACAGAGCTCTACCCCTGGTAGTTGTGGAGATCTGGGTGGGGGCGGGCCTTAGGCGGGAGGAGGGAGCTGCTGCCGGGGTCAGGCTGGCAGGACACACACCTCCTTCTCTTGAGCTTTAGGAAACAAGGCTTTGGGTTCTTGGGCAACCAGTGGGCAGAGGCCTCTGGGAAGCTGGAGGGGCAGCCCACCTTCCAGCACATGGGGCCCCTGCCTCTGCCTCCTTCTCCTTTCCCCAAGGGTGTCTGGGGGGGGGCCTTCTGCTTGCTCTCAGGATATCCACCAGGGCCCTACTCTCCTTCCTGCTCTGAGCCTGCATCCTCTTCCAGAACCAGGTTCTTCACACTCCCTCCCAGCACTGGGTCCTCAATAGGGCCAAGTTGGTCCATCTGTCCACCAGCTGTGGATCTGGAGTGCTCTGGGCATGACACACAATCCCCACTGCCCCCTTCACTCTCCCTGCTGGCCTCTGTCTTTCCCTCAACTGCCTTGTGTGTCCCCCGAGAGTGCCGATGTGCCCTTCTGGACCCTCTGTGCTAGGCTATCTGGAAGGTTGCCTCTCTGCCACCTACAGTCCCATGCAAGCCCCCTAAGTTCCCAAGAGAGAAATGTGGGTTTACCTGCCTAACCTCTGTGCCCAGGCAGAGGGTAGCAGCACCCCTTCTCTGGCCCATGGATGCCATCATGAAGAGGCCAAGGAGCATCTCCTGACACCAGACCCTTGTCAGGCTGAAGGCTGCCAGGCAGCACTGTGAGGCCCCTCAGCCAGGCACTGGGCTCTGTGGGTGAGGGATGGGTGGAGGCAATGGGGCAGCAGGGTTGAAGGAGACTTGGCGCCTCCCACCGCTTGGGAGACCTGCAGGGGCCAGGTCTTCCTCATTGTCCTATTGAGGACTCCTCCTGGGCACTGCTACTGAAGGGTAGGTGGGGGTCTCAGGCCTCCATGCCTGGTGGGAGGGGGCTGCAAACTGCCCAGGGAACTGGGAGAAGGCAGCTTGAGCAGGGCCATTCTTCCTAGGCAATGGTGACCGAAACTAGCTGAAACCAGCCCAGTGTGAGAGGACAGGGACCGTTGGGCAGGACAGGCTGGTGTGGAGCCTCCACGGAGCCAACCCTCTCCTGGCCAGGCACATGGCTCCTTGCTGAGGAGCCCTCTCTAGACACATGGACCTTCCTTGGACTCTAGGGTCTTGAGTGGAGTGGCTCTGCCCTGTGCATCTGGCTCTCCTTGTGTCCATGTGTGTGTTCACGTGTGTGCATATACATGAGTATGCCAAGGGCTGGGTTTGTACATTTGTCTATATGTGTGCATGGTTCTGCACATGTATGTACATCTGTGTACACGTACATGTCTGTGCATGTCTGTGTGTACAAGTGTGTGTGTGTGTGTCATGCAAGGATGAAGTGCTGGGCTGTTGCTCTCCTTTCTGGCTACTCACCTTGCCCACTGACCATGGTGTCCTGCCCCCATCTCTGGCCTTCTCTAGCTGAAAATCTCCCTTTGGTCTGGCTCAGCACCAGAGGCAGGGGAAGACCTGCCTCGACCACATCTGCCAGGTGGACAGAGACACCTTGGAGACTGCAAGATGCTTCCTGTCTCAGAAGGAGCAGGCAAGAGGCCCCCAGAAGTTCCAGAGCACCTGTCTTCCCTCCAGCTTCCTGGCAAGACCCATGGGATGAGGAGAAAAAGGAGAGGAGCCTGCAGGGTTTAGGGCTTAAGCTGGGAGGCTGCTCAGAGCCATTTCCAGCCGATTGGTCTTGGCTACCATTTGCAGGTGTGGAAGCAGCCCAGGATGCGTGAACAGGTGGCCAGAGGCAAATCTGGTGGGAGCCCAGCCGTCAGGCTGGGGGAGGTGGGAGATGGCTGGGAATTAGGGAAGAAGGCATGTTTAGGTAATGTCTCAGACAGGAAGGTATTCAGCTGGATCCTGCCTGCCTTTCCAGGCTGACTTCAGAGATGGAGGGTGAGATGGAGAGACAAATGGGGGAGGAGGACCAGGGTGAGGAGGGGGAGAAGAGAGGGTGGAAAAAGTGAGTCCATCGATGGGCCGGGCCATGGCGAGGGCTGTCTCCTCACTGTGAAACCCTGGGGAACCTGGGACTGTTGGGACCATGAAAGGGGGTGCTTGCTGCCACCTGGGGCCTGGCCCAGCAATGCACAGCAGGTGCTCAGGTAGCAGCCCCTGAAGGATGGAAGGAGGCCACCCTGGAAGGCTGAAAGCTGGGAGGCTATGGGCAGATTAGGGCCATCCCATCCCCATCCGGGTGGGCACACAGCTTCTACTGCCAGCCCTGCTCTGGGGGGTTTATGGTATGTATGAATGTATCCCACCCCTCCTGGGGCCTCTCAGCCAAGGTGAAGGCCACACAAATTTGACTGCAGCGACAGCGCACTGGACTTGTCTAGCACCCTGGAGGCCCAGGCTGGCTGAGGCTGCCCCACCTCACCCAGCTGCTCAGCTCCACTCCAGCTGCCTTCTCCCTCCTGCACCTGGGCCACCCACGGTCCCTCCTTCTGTGCTCCTCTGAGCTCCTCCCTGGGGCTGCAGGCCTAGGGCTGCCCCATCCACCTGAGATCCCAGGTGGAGGGAGACCTTAGTCTAGGGATAAGTGCCCTGGTTTGCCTGGTTCCCGGGCCTCACTTTCTCCATTCTTTGGACCTTTCTGGCTGCTCCCTGACAGCCCTGGATTTTGGGTGGGGATAGGCCAGGATGGGAGGTGGAGCTAGGGGCCTAGGGCAGTTTAGTCCCCTGAACTAACAAACTGTGAGCAGAGTAGAGGAGGGGTCTAGCAGGTTTCCATGGTAACAAGACCAAACAAATATTCGCACCCTTCCCCCTGCCGTTCCTGTGGCAATGACCTCATCTGCCCACCAACCCTGTGCTGTGGGGGGTCCTGGGCTGGCAGGGGAGCTGTAGCATCCATGTTTGTGTTGGGCCCTCATCCATGGAAACGGCTGGAGTAGGAGCCAGAGGCTCTTGCTGTGGTTATTAGCTGGGTAGCCAGAGGCCCTTCCTAGAGCAAGGGAAAAGGGGAGAGGAGAGAAAAGGAGGGGGAAGGGAGAGGAAGAGGAGGCAGGAGGATGAGGGAGGGCAAGAAGAGGAAGGGGAGGGCAGAGGAGGGAGCATAGAGGAGGGGGCAGAGGGCAGGGTGGGGAACATAGGTGCTGCTGCGGTTCGGTGACAGGATACTGGAGGGGATGGTGGGAGGCCTGCTGTCAGTCTGCATGGATGGGGGTTGAGAAAGACCCGAACACCAGGCAGGAGGACAGGCTGCAGGGGCTGCAGGGATGTGCCGGAATGTGGGGACCAGGAGGGCAGGAACTGGAGTGGAGGGAGGCCTGGGTCAGAGCAGCCCACGGGGCCTTGGTGTGGGGTTTGTCACAGGGGCCCGGTGCAGTCTTCCAGTGATTCTGCCTCCAGCTGTGAAGGAGAATTTCTAGCCACCCTATAGTGAGCTCTGCCCACAGCCAGGGAGCAGGGGCCTCTGTGTGTCCACCTCCTACAAGCCCAGAACCTGTGCCCTACTCAGTGGATATTAACTTAATCACATTTGCTTTGGACTCTCTCTAGAAACACACATCTAATTCACCCTCTGAGAGTCACTGGCCCATCCCAATACATTCCCTGTCACTCTTGGTGCATCTTTCATGGGCACTCGCTTACAAGACTCCTGACGATTGAACATGGAAGAAAAACCTCATTGTGTTTTTTTTTCTGATCTGGGCCCACAGAGAGTTCAAGGCTCCTGAGGTGGGTCCTGGGAAGGGTGGGAGCCACCCTCCTCTACTCTGCTATGGGATCCAGGAGCTCTCCCGGCAATGTCCTAATTCTGTCACTCACACTCCAACTGCAGTTACTACACATGGTTCTGTAAAGAAATTTTTTTTTAATTTTATTGATTATGCCATTACATTTGTTCTGCTTCCCCCACTTCATTCCCCTCCACCCTGTACACCCCTCCCCCACCATTCCCGCCCCTTTAGTTCATGACCACGTGTCTCAAGTTCTTTAGATTCTATATTTCCTTACTATTCTTACCCTCCCCCTATCTATTTTCTATCTACTCTCTGTGCTACTTATTTTCTGTACCTTCTCCCCCCTTCTCCTTCTCCTACTCCCCTGTTGCTAACCCTCCACCTGATCCTCATTTCTATGGTTCACTCCTGATCTAGCTGTCCTTTTAGCTTGATTTTGTTTTAGGTGTGGTTGTTTATAA